TTTGGCAAAAATATTACAAACGTTACAAAACGTTACGAGGCTGAAACCGGTCGCCGAAACATTGCAAAATTAAGATCCAAAACACTATTATGGTACCCGTATCAGATACACCACCATCAAATAACCATTTCTTGTTTGCTTAATGTTTAGCCATTGTGAAACATGGGTGTACACTCTCTTTTGTCGGCAGTTTATTTTTTCAATTCTAGTTTCTTTCTATGTAGATGTGATAAGGCGTTCGTCCTGGTATTCACAATAGTAGTGTTTACTATCTCTGTGACTGATGCTTGAAACTTTGCCACGGACATCCTTTGACTGTACCCTGTTAAGCCATGGATAGCATATCACATTCCCGAGGTCAGCCAACGGTCATGTGGTCAGTCAAGCGTGACCTGGGGCGGACGACTGGTCCAGCCACTCGTTGTTGTTTTTTACAGATGGTGAATATACTGAGTGAGTGAGTGATTTGGGTTTAACGCCGCTTTGAACAGTATTCCAGCTATATCACGGCGTGTCAGCTTAATGTGGGAGCCGGAAGTGAAAATGGAGCTTAAGAGAGAACAAGAAAGGGAGTTTGAGAAAAAACAAGTAAGGGAGAAAAGGGAGTTTGAGAGAGAACAAGAAAGGGAGAAAAGGGAGTTTGAGAGAGAACAAGAAAGGGAGAAAAGGGAGTTTGAGACAGAACAAGAAAGGGAGAAAAGGGAGTTTGAGACAGAACAAGATGGGGGAGAAAAGGGAGTTTAAGAGAGAACAAGAAATGGAGTTTGAGAAAGAACAAAAAGGGAAAAAGAGGAGTTTAAGAGAGAACAATAAAGGGAGTAAAGGGAGTTTGAGAAAGAACAAGAATGGGGGAAAAGGGAGTTTGAGAAAGAATGTTTTTCACATGAATTGCGGCACCTTAGGTGATATAACTGAATGAGTGAATGTTGTTTTACGCCATGACCAACAGTAGTCCAGTCACATCACTGCATCCTTTAAATAATCGGCAAACCAGAGGTTGATTGCATGAACAGCGATTCACGTTACTGGGGTACGACACTGTTATCTTCATTTAAGTCCGACCCCCATAAACATTGGGAACGAGACAACATGACCTTTTCCAACACGAATTGTTTCTCCATTCAGGTGATGAGATGCGATTATAGGTTAACATTATTACTGTTGTTTTTTTTAATTTCGTATTGACAAAAAACACATTTACTGTAAAATATCTAAATATTAACATACGTTTTAATCACATTTATATATACTGTAAGCAGTAACGTTTTAGTTTTGAAAAAAAAATCAAATACTGCATATTAGAACCATTGTGAGTTTTATGTGTTATCTTGCTGGAGAATATATCGCATCTGATTTGAGCTAATCCTGTATTTATCAACAATGTATATATAATTGACGCTTAATTATGATATAAATGACTATCACATCATCATAATGTGTCAATTATATATACATTATCCTGCCTCCTTAAAGATGGTTGCCATTGTGACACAGATACTTATGTACGGACGTGTTCACCATCTGTATTTATTAAGCATATCTATATCGTAACGGGGGCGTTAGGGTAGCCTAGAGGTTAAAGCGTTCGCTCGTCACGCCGAAGACCCGGGTTCGATTCCCGACATGGGTACAATGTGTGAAGCTCATTTCAGGTGTCCCCCCGCCGTGATATTGCTGGAATATTGCTAAAAGCGGCGTAAAACCATACTCACTCGTAATGAACTATTCAGAAGATGAATCCAGATAGAATTAGGTGGAGTAGGGTGTGTTTTTAATATATTCAACTGTCTTGTGTAAAGTACGCTAATTTGAAAACATTATTTTAAAACAGTTGTAACTAACTTCAGTGGTGATAATGCATTCGGAAAACACTAATGATAGATAAAAAAAACAAAAACAGACCCAGTCAATTAAAATATATTCTAAAGACAGAAACAGCTTTCAGTATGATACTAGTATATAGAACAGTCATATGATTCGTTGATGCGATGTTATGTCACAGACATGATTATTTTTCCCCCAATGCTTGGTACAATTACCTCGCAAAGGTACCCTGAACATTGAATGCTCCGTACAAAGTGCTTATGTCTCCACACACCCAAATCACCACAACTCATCACACACACACACACACACACACACACACACACACACACACACACACGCCCCCCAACCTCACATGTCACCATGCAATGTCAGTGTTCTGTGGAACACAATACGCAAGTGGAGGCTTGTGTTCAGGCCGGAGGCTAGTGCGTCCATTGTGTGTCTATTGCATAAAACGACGCAAGTGTAGTTTCGCAATGCTTATACTTACTTATGCCTTGTTACCGATATTTTGTTACGGGAATTGTGTTTCATTAGATGGGATTAAATGACCCTTCTACCCGTGAATATACGTGAATATACGGGTAGAGAATAGGTCTCCAGCAACCCATGCTTGTAGTAAGAGGCGACTAATGATATCGGGTGGTCAGGCTCGCTGACTTGGTTGATGCAGGTCATTGTATCCCAATTGCGTGGATGGATGCTCATGATGTCAATCACTGGATTGTCTTGTCGAGACCCGATTATTAATAGACAGACGACACTGGATGAGAAATCTACGAGAAGATTCTCCTCCAGAAGGCAGCCACTCTCCTCAGCGCCTTCCTCAGAGGATGAACCTCTCGGTCCTCCACGAAGCTGTCGTCATCCTCGTCCTCGTAGACCCAGTAGTCACTGTTAGCGTGGTTACACAATTTTAATGCCTGTCATATAAGATAGTATATGATGTAGAATATGATCAAACTTGGAAATTGTAAAGCGCCATGGTGGCCATAATTTCTGTATAATTTCGTTAAAGAAATGTCACAAAAGCCAATCGCTATAACCTGTGTAGCGGTAGCAAGAACATAATTCGAGAGTATGCTACCGAAAGTTGTGTTACATTTCCATACTTTCAACCATAATAGCTTTGCATTACGTTGGGATGAAGACTATGTGATATATTGCCAGATTACGTTGCAGTGAGGCTGATGTGACGTTAAATATTAACTCACTTACTAAATTGCAGTTTATTAAATTGATATTCGTTAACATGTGGTTAATATTATCTGAAGTAGCTAAGGCAACGAATAAAACATACATATGTATCATCCTTGAACATCCTATGCTGAGTGCAATCCTATTTCCATATTAATAAATTCTTGTATCGTCCTCTTTGTTAGGAGTTTTCGGGGTTGTCCAAACTAGGTTTATTCAAATGGATTACAATTCTAGTTCATGAACTTGAATAATGTCACCTTGCGAATTTCAACCTAATCCTTCTTCAGCAAATGAGAGTCTTAGTAACTGCATCATAAGGTTATGTAGCCTATTTCAAAACATACAATCTTAATATTCACTTATGATCTTCCCTCTCAACCAGCTTATCTATGCTTACACTCAAAGGAGGGAGTGACATCTATTACTTTTCTGTGAAGCTATCTTCCGTACAGATATACTGAAGTTCATCTCGTTCTGTCACCTACGACCTTTGGCAACGCCACAGTTGAAACAAGGACACCGTGAATCACTAATGGTTTCGAAGCATACATGTGTCATTTTTCTTATCAGCTCCATTCGTTTTTCACATTTTTTTTCCGGGTTCAAGATATCGTTGAGTTGATTTTTAATATTGTTTTATGAGGCGTGCTTTTAATACATCTTACCTTGACATTTCAGATTTATCTTATTTATGAGCTGAGATCGTGTTTGAAATGTGCTTGTTTGTACTTATAGATTTGCTGCAGTGTACTTTATTTGTTGGATTACTATAATTAATGTCATGATTATTTAAGATAATTGTTTTGTTGTTTTTTTAAATTGAGTCCTTTCTTCGGAGCAATGATAACTGTACTGCCTTTTCTTATGGTTTAAGGACCGGCTCCGTGGTCTAGTGGTAGATTGTCTGCCCGGAGAGCAGAAGATCGGGGGTTTGATAGCCTGCCGCGCCATATAAAAATACCTTAAAATATGGTACTTGTTCTTACCCTGCCTGACGCTCGGCATTAAGGGAAAAAACAAGGACTGGTCCGCTCGGAGTCGGTATACTGTGTCTGAGTGGAGTATTCATACACACACACACTCACACGCACGCATGCACTCACACTCACGTACACGCACACGCACACACACACACACACACACAACACACACAAAACACACACACACACAAAACACACACACACACAAAACACACACAAAACACACACACACAAAACACACACACACACAAAACACACACACGCAAACACACGCATACGCACTGTTATACTCTCAGGAGCCAGGGGTGGTCGGGTAGCCTAATGGTTCAAGCGTTCGCTTGTCACGTGGAAGACCCGGGTTCGATTCCCGACATGGGTACATTGTGTGAAGCCCATTTCTGGTGTCCCCCGCCGTGATATTGCTGGAATATTGCTAAAAGCGGCGTAAAACCATACTCACTCACTCACTCACTCAGGAGCCAAGCTGCAGATCAACCCTACTGAGACCGGGAATTGCAAATAGGACCCTAGCACTGTCCTTTTTATGGTTAGTTGAATAAATTCGACTAGGCTGGCGGCTTGTACAATCTACGTACCCCGACTCGAATCGATTATTTACAGGTCATCGTGATTTACACAAACAATTAACAAAACAACATGTAATCGAAACAGAAGGCCTAGGGTATATATATCAATACCAATACCATATATATATATTGACAGTAATTGATGTTTGGTCAAATATTATGAATTTCAGCGTCTTACATTTCTTGGTGAGTGATCATGTGATGGACATAACCTCACCAACCAACAAATGTTCCGTTATGATATGTACCGTTGACATTCACTACTGCTACCTGTGGGGTTTATCACGTGGAGTCAACACGCAGAAACTATGTCAATGCCATCGAGACTGGCACACCAAGAAACACAAACATGCAGATATTACTCTGCACAGGGATATGTGTGACCTGGTTCATTTGCAAAAACAGTCACACTTATTATCACTCTACATGTAGTTTCCAAGTCACCCAGACCTTCCTCGAAGGATGAACTTTTTGAATCATGCAAATGACAGTCTTGAAAAGGTTCCTCTCTGTGATTGTGGCAAAGATCACGACGACTCAGAATCAGAATCATCGGTTCTCTGTGAGAAGCGCCATGGGAAGCTGAGTTCGTTTTTCCATCCTGACAAAAATAGTGACACCTTGGGGTCGTTGTTTCATGGTGACAAATCGCGTCGCAAAAGTCTTGAAGCGACTCATCTTCCCGTCTGCGGCCAATATTCCGACGATTTCAATCCAGTGTCATTGGACCACCATGACAAATATCATAGTAGGCTGAAGTCATTGTTTCATCATGACAAAGGGCGCCGAAAGAGTTATGCTTTTGAAAGGCTTCCATTGCGCGAGTGTGAACAACAGCATGACAAGGACAAGTCATTGTTCCACTGCGATAAAGAACATGGCTTGTTGAGGGCATTTTTTCACCACGACAAGGAAGATATGGAAAATGAAACCGATGGTGACGAAGAACCTGTCGAGTTTGAAGGATCTTTCTTCAACACATCGTCCACTGAAGAGAACTACATGGACAGTGACAATGATGACAAGGAAAATACAGCCGATATTAACCAAGAACCGCTTGAAGGAACTCTCATCGACATATCACTAACTGAATCGGAAGACCCAGGTGATCATAGTGACCAACAGGAGAACAATCTTGAGAAGGAAGATTCCACCAGTGATGATGAAGAAGGAGAGGTGGACACGTCAGCACCAAACAGCGTCGAGACCGACGATGAACAAATTAGCTCAACTGAAGAAAGCCAGGAGGCACTTGAATATGAAGAATGTGAGAAGATGAAAGAGTTTGCAGAAGGCAGTGAGAAGCACCAAGAGTCACCCAGTCCTAGTGTGAAGGACGTAGACAAGCAGAAGTCGGATAATGCTACGTCTCTTCTTTCTAGTGTCAAAACGTTTTACAAACAGAAGAAGTCCTCATTTGCTAGTGATAAGTCTAAAAGTCGCCACAAAGGAAAGATTTCTGTGTACAACAGTAACATGGAACTTGAGACACACGCAAAGCCAAAACCTCAAGGGGTTAAAAAACGTTTCAAACGGAAGAAGCCTGCGGTGAAAGTTGAAGAGAAAGTTGAGAAACCGGCGTACAATGAGGATGACCTTGAGAAGCAGATGACGGCTCTATTTGATGACGTCAAAATACGATACAACCTGATGGAACCATCAGGTGACAGCAAATCAAATAAAAAGAAGTCAAGTTTAAAAATAATAAAATTGCCCGAAAAGCACGTGGAACATGGACAGGATGATGACAAAGTCGACGTCTGTAAGGTGGATGTCCCGAAGCAAAAGAGCCACACAGATTCTGATGTGAGCTTTTCCAAACAGGGTTACGATCGGCCACTACCTTTAGTCCAAGGCAATGTCAATCAAGGAGAAGAGTTCAATGGAAAATTCCGAGCTATTTTGTTCAACACATTTGGCGGAAAGCAAAGGGGAATCCCAGGGCTTAAAAGTGCAACGTCCGTCATCCACGTGTACAGTGAGTCAGTTCTGGTGACAGACATGCTTGACAGCAAGGTCGTGTTGTATGACCGCAGTGGCCGTGTACGCCAGACGTTCATGGGTAAGGAACACTCCGAGCCGTGGGCAGCGGTGATGACGCCAGATGGACACGTCCTTGTGACGTTACGACGTGACGGTTGCTTTGCATTATGGCCTAAAGACGCTTCTTCCACGAAGATGTTTGGACACTCCGAACTGAAATGCCCCGCTGGGATTGCTGTGGACAAACAAAGGCGGATTATAGTTACCGATGAACGTGCCCACGATGTTTTCCTGTACGACAATTCAGGACGATTCCTTTTCAAATTAAGCGATCTCAAACAGACAACCTTCAAGCAACCCAGATATGTCTGTGTGTCTGCCTCCGGTCGCATAATCGTGTCTGATTCGGGAAACCACAGTGTGAAGGTATTTAATATGGATGGCGAGTTCCTCTTCCAGCTAGGTTCGTATGGATCCGGTGACGGAAAGCTGAAGTTCCCGTATGGCGTTTGCGTTGACCATGAGGAGCACATCATTGTCGCTGACCACTACAATGACCGCATAGTCATGTTCTCATCCGAGGGACATTTCATGCAAACATTGATCTCTCACCGACCTGGTATGATAAGACCCCAAGGAGTGTCAGTTCGGTGTGCGCATAACCGGACGTTGTACATCACCCATGGGGAATATCGTGCATCCGAAGTGATAGTTTTCAAACTGATTTCACATAAATCTGAACTTAGCGTTAGTATTGAACAGTTTGCTTGAACTGACTTAACGAACAGTTTGGTAACAGTTTGGTTGAACTGTTAGTTATGTGATCATATGTGAAAACCCACAAACTCCTTGAAAAGGAGTACTGATATTGCATTAGAATTATTATGTAAATGAAAATACGTTGTCAGTTATTTTACTCCTGAGATAATCATTTCTGGATTGTGTTGTTTTAAGTGTTATACTACTGCATTTTATCGGAGGCAGAATATATAGCTAACCTCAACAAAATGTAACAACATTTTGGACGTTGTATTGGTACAACCTAATTAACCATAATCAACCATTTGCTATCGCCAGTGTCTTCTTAAAATCCAATCTATTGAATTCTTTTAAAACTACCTTTAAATTACCTTAATGACCATTGTATAGACATTCAGACTATGTAATTAACGCAGTTACCACATTGTCACGGTCACGTGACACCTCCTCTAAAAACTCATTAGACACATCCAGACAGCAGCTGTAAAAACAAAGTTTACTTAATCTGACGTAGTTACCGCAATTACCATCGTGTCACGGTCACGGTCCTTTATAAGAACTCATTTGAGTAAATTACCTAATCTACCTAATCTTTCAACCAACCAAAATTGTAATTAAAGGACACAGTGTATGTTTTGGCCAATCAAGAGAATTCCGACGTTGATCAGTGGTGTTTCCAGTATTTTTTAGACTATAAAAAGTGGTCCGTGATTTCATATCAACACGTTGAACCTCACAATAAATACTGGAACATCTCTTTGACTGATCACTGACTCACGGAATTCTCCCTTCTAATTTAAGGTAAGCTCAAACTCTATTATTTATGTCAAATAATATGAAGATAGAAATGTATTATTTATGATGAATAGAAAGTGGCAAATATTATGTATTTTGTGTATTTCTAAATAATCTCTGTATGAATATTGTCGTGCATAATATCTCATTATTGAATATGAAAATGAATTAGATCTATTGTCATGAATAGTTGTGTATTTATTGCACTCATGTATGATTAATTATATGCTGATAGAGAACCAATACACATATTAGGTTCAACGGCAAACATCATTTATAAAGGATTTATATGACAACCTTTGAGGTATAAGTGAGATGTGATTTAAGTAATTGTATGAATGGTTCCTGAACGATTATTATCCAATGTTGTGTTGAAAGAATGAAGTATTATAAGTGTTATCATGTATACAAATTCTACCATATGAAACGCTAATAGCCCCATCAAAATAAAATGTGTATTTAAGATTATTGTTTTATTAATATATTATGTATAACACATTGAGCCTCACAATAAATAATGGAACATCTCTTTGACTGATCACTGACTCACGGAATTCTCCCTTCTAAGGATAAGAATACGTCTTGTTATCCCATAAGTAACGGGGTAACAGTACGTCTACAATTTCAAAATCGTTGTGTATTCCTGTGGAGAACTGAGTGTAAATAATAAGTGTTACTAAAGACATACCTGTAACAAATTCAATAGGAATACACAATTTAAATGTCTTTCATGATTCACTATCATTTCTTGTCAAAGTCGCTGTCAAATTAACATGATCAAATAATGCCCAACACATTCATTTATTATACGAGTGAGTGAGTATGGTTTAACGTCACTTTTAGCAATATTCCAGCAATATCACGACGGGGGACACCAGAAATGGGCTTCACACAATGTACCTATGTGGGGAATCGAACCCGGATCTTCGGCGTGACGTGTGAACGCTTTAACCACTAGGCTAACCCCACCGTCCCATTTATTATACGAACATGGATAGTATCAATTTTACAACATCACCTTGTTGCGAACACCTGGTATCATCACTATTTGAGAGTCATTCATAAACACATGCTCATGATATAGTCGGAGTGCACAATGGGCTTTGTGGCTTATATTTGTATTGAACTGTCTAAAATGTCTGACTGTTTTGAAAATTTACAAAGCTTTGAAAAAAGATCATTTCCTTGATCAGGGAAACATTTGTTATTTATGTAAACTTTCAAATGTACAAATGCCTTAGTGGGTTATGCATCGTGTCGTATGAGAAGATTCCGAATAGTGAGTGAGTGAGTGAGTTGGGTTTAACGCCGTCTTTAACAGTATTGCAGCCATATCGCGGCGTGTCAGCTTAATGAGGGAGGAAAGCCCGAAGTGATGCAGGCCTCAGACGTTTACCACTTCGGTGAAACCCACGAGCACGGGTATCGTGCTGACAAACCCTAGAAACATAATCGGGGCGAAAAGGGATTCGAACCTACAATCACAGGTTTCGGGCGTGCCCAAGGGACGCAACTCTGCACAGCAAATCGCGGCGCCTTAAACGACTGGGCCACCCGTGACCCCCAGACTGCGAATAGTTTCCACATGCTCATATTACCGGTGCTTAAACAAAATGATTTCCACCATCTGAAATATTTTAGGTTCATATAAAAAGAATTTCATAGATGCTGACACCTTTTCCATCAGTTCTCTTATAAGTTCATATGTTCACAGTGCAAGCATTTAACAAATTCAACCATGCTTAGAAAATGAGGTATTGGTTTGGGTATGTAACGGACAAATTTACCAATAAAGAATAATTTTCATCTGCATCTTACCACATCCTCTTAAGAAGCATTGTATCACACGTTATGCATCAAGAAGAGGCATCCTATACAATAACAAAACAATGGAGTGTAGATCTAAGGACATTTTCCTCGAAGCAATGCATCTGCATTATCGTAATCAGTTGGGTCACTGAATATTGGTCAAAGTGTTTATCCAGTAAACAAAGATATAGGCTGACTTGCATGGGTATGCATTTCCGCCATCTCAACTGGTGACGTTCTATGCTATGTTGCAAAAATGCAGTGGTTAATTCGGTCTTCAAGCAAACTAGCATATACAAGAAGTCTACCGGATGAATAATGCACACATGTGTAACATCTGGCTAATTGTAACTTGTATCAATGTAATGAAGTTGTGCAACACACGAACAGATGACAATTAGAAATTAAAACCTAAAACAATATAACAGTACAATACTTTTCAAAAAGGCCCACTCAATGGTTTTCAAAAATCCAATAGACTTGACGAGAGCAATAATAGACATTGAATACCCCAACAAAGTGTAACTATTCAATGTTAATAATAACATGTGACTCCAACTCACTTCTAAATTGTCTGAAGAACCCGATGAAGTGATTAAACTGATGACCTAATGCATAGTAGTGTTTTGTTTAGACAGACCCTCAGCGATATAAGGTTAATGAGGTCATATGAGCCGTGATGAAAGAAATTATTAATCTATCAAAATACCTCTCGAAGGTATTATCTCTTACAAGAACAGTAGAATCTTAACTCCAGCCATCTTGTATCATATCTTGTATTTATAAATTCTGTATTTCATCATTGTGCATTAATTAATTTTTCATTTGTCTTTGTATACAACATATGATTATCTTGGTTTAGTATCGGTAACATGAGCATTTAAATACTATTCAAATACGATACCCTTCTTGATATCCGGAATGATACATAGCTTTCTTAGGCATGAAAACATTTGAAAATTAAAAAACATGTTTCCCCACCTAAGGAAATGTCCATATTTCAAACCGAGTAAACTGAGAAAGGACATTCCAGCACCTATTACAATAAAAAGAAATGCATAGGAAATACTCTATGATCAAGTATTTACTGCGGTATCAACTATTGAATTTATGCTTGGAAATGTCTGCAAATCCGGTCATAGCATTCATGACAATGGTGCTTGTGCATACGACAATACACGATGTTCATATGTTTCAAAGGTATAGCTTCATATGAAATTAATGCCCAAAGTTAGTTCATATCGGGACACTAACGTAAATCCGACCATAGCATACATTTTCTACTGTATTTGCGTTTGTTTCAATGGCGTAATATCCGGAATATTCGTGGCGTCAGAACGCTATGGACTGTCATTCAAGCAGCAATTAATACTCGAAGAATTTTTGGTATTTGTTTCAAAAATAAATATGCGAGTCTCGTTAGCTCAGCTCAGTGCAGGTTATTATGATTTAAATATGTATAAAGGCATATTTCAAAAGTCTAACAAAGCCTGTCCAATATGTTGCCTTAATGTTGCAGAAAATGAATATAATTTTATAACCTATTGTATTGACCATACATCATGCATTGTTAGTTAGAAGAAACACGCATACCTTGTAAATAGGTTGAAATGTTGGCATATGGCCTCTCAGTTTGCCATAAATCAGCATTTGGTGCCGTCCTTGTGAGAGCGATACTTAATGTAGAAGCAGTCCGTCTGTGATCGCTTCATTTTCTTGAGGGGTGTTGATTATTTTTCCACGCCGAAGACCCGGGTTCGATTTCCGATATGGGTACAATGTGTGAAGCCCATTTCTGGTGTCCCCCGCCGTGATATTTCTGGAATATTGCTAAAAGCGGCGTAAAACCATACTCACACACTCGATTAATTTTCACAAGTATCTGTTTTTTTATTTGACGAAAGTAAGTATTTGACATATATACAATGGCTGATTTGTTTACATGCTTTTATTGATAATTTCTTAATTAACAACCAATTATTGTCATCAACTAAAGACACATCACAAAGCGTACTTTTGTCATGTGATCATGACAGAATGGTCTAAATTTTAGGTTGGTTATGAGTGATTTGATACCTCTTAGTTGTAATTTGAAACCTCACACCAATATTACGGAACACCAAGTAAACACCAAGCAAATAAGCAAACTTATTGCAAAACGAATGAAACCATCATTAAATTCCTGTGTCGTCAACAAATATACGTACCTGGTAGCGGTGACTACTCAATGCTCAGTTGACACATATATTTCAACACATCGTCACATTTACTTCGACCGTATTGTTTTACGTTGAACACGTGTGTCAATGGCTGATTTCACGTGGTCACTTCTGATCTGATCATGTTGTGAGTCCCATTTCCCATTTTCCTTCAACGTAAAGTGTATGGCATTAATATAACATCATGGACCGCTTATAAAGAGCTACACTCCACTCTGAGCATGGCCATGGCGTCATCACCCGCTCAACGGAGAAATGTCCATTCGTTGCATGCTCAGCTACCCAGGGAGCTGGCGGGTTTGACATTCACATTGCCATCTCACCATACTGCTGCTTAGAGTCAAGTGACATATTTCGTCATTTGCCTATAGAGGCTTCCCATTTTTTATTGCCTCTGCTTCAGTGCGGGCCAGGACAAAACACCTCGACACGTTAGAGTCAAGTTGGGGCCGGAATCTATCCCCAGACATTCTGGGAAAGGTTGATGGACAGGTTTTACACTAAAATATCGTTAACTGGACATGCTGGTTGCTCTGGCTGAGTCACAAACATGTATGTCTTCACACGCTGACTGAAAAACTAACAGAAGGATCATCAACTGTAAATGTAATAACTATGTATATTGGCTATAATGTGAGGATAAGTGTTACTGGTCTACTTAATATGTAATAACTACGTGTAGTGTCAACTGTCTGAGGATATGTGTAACAGTTACTGGTCAGCTGAGTATGTTATAACTATGTGTATAGATGTTACAGGACGACTGAATATGTTATAACTATGTGTATGATATATGAGGATAGATGTTACTGGACGACTGAATATGTTATAACTATGTGTATAGATGTTACTGGACGACTGAATATGTTATAACTATGTGTATGGTATATGAGGATAGATGTTACTGGACGACTGAATACGTTATAACTATGTGTATGGTATATGAGGATAGATGTTACTGGACGACTGAATATGTTATAACTATGTGTATGGTATATGAGGATAGATGTTACTGGACGACTGAATATGTTATAACTATGTGTATGGTATATGAGGATAGATGTTACTGGTCAACTGAATATGTTATAACTATGTGTATGGTATATGAGGATAGATGTTACTGGACGACTGAATATGTTATAACTATGTGTATGGTATATGAGGATAGATGTTACTGGACGACTGAATATGTTATAACTATGTGTATAGATGTTACTGGACGACTGAATATGTTATAACTATGTGTATGGTATATGAGGATAGATGTTACAGGACGACTGAATATGTTATAACTATGTGTATGGTATATGAGGAGAGATGTTACTGGTCAACTGAATATGTTATAACTATGTGTATGGTATATGAGGATAGATGTTACTGGACGACTGAATATGTTGTAAATATGTGTATGGTATATGAGGATAGATGTTACTGGTCAACTGAATATGTTATAACTATGTGTATGGTGTACTGTCTGAGGATATGTGCAACAGTTATTGGTCAACTGAATATGTTATAACTACTTTAGATATGCGTTACTGGTCAACCGAATCTGTAATACTAGTGCATACTGAATGTTATCGGAGGGTAGGTCTGAAACAGCTACATCTAAGGTACCTGAAAACCAGCCTCTGGCTAACCGTGAGACCTTCAACAAAAGACTGATACCAGGGGTCAAGTGGTCTTCCGACTGGAACCAATCGGATTACCCGAGGTCAACAGCCAAGTAATTTTCCATCAGCATCTGCAATTGATGTGGTCATCTCAGGAGATAACTGAAACAGTGCTTCTCGGACATATGATATCTGTCAACATATAATGATCGATGAAAACTAAAATGACTGTATTCAGGATTGTGGTACATAATGCTCCTGTTCTGAATCCCTTAAACCGATCACCAACAACTAAATGCTTGTCCATCCCATGAGAGTCAAGACAACTAAGGGTCTCCCAGTGAGTTAGTGAGTGAGTGGTTTGGTCGGATGAAGGGAAGTGTGTGTGTGTTTGTGCATGTGTGTTCTTGTGTGTATGTGTGTGTGTATGCGTGTCCGCGTGTGTGTCAGTGTGTGTGGTTTGTGCATGTGTGTTTATTTGTGTGTGCTTGTTTTGTGTTTTGTTTGAGTGGGTGAGTTGGTAGAAATGCGGATGGAAGGGCGGCAGTACTGATGTGTGATTGAATGTGAGTAACCGGGTGAGTGAAGATAATAACTCCAATACTTTAATCGTAGTGCTAAGATCGCTTTGTGGAAAAAGGGTCTTTGGATGCTAATGTAGACATGCGTATGACTTACAGAGAGAGGTGTTCATCCGGGTAGAGAATAGGTCTCCAGCAACCCACACTTGCCACATACAAGAAGCGACTTGCCGTAAGAGGCGACTAACGGGATCGGGTCGTCAGACTCGCTGACTTTGTTAATGCATGTCATCGTATCCCAATTGCGTAGATCGATGCTCATGATGTCAGTCACTTGATTGTCTGGTTCGGGGCCCCGTTCCACAAACGCTTAGCGCTGACGTGAGCGGAATTCCCATATTTTAACATAGGCCTACGATAATCGTAGCGCTAAGATCGCTTTGTGGAACGGGAGCTGACCAGATTGTTTACAGACTGCCGTCATATATCTGGAATATGCGGCCCTAAACAACAAAAAAGCAAATCTACAAGGGTAACTTGTTTATGACAAAGAAGACTATCCCAGAAAGCTACACAATAGTGTTAATTCAAAAGAACCATTAGGTTTTAATGTACACTGGCAGGAAAACGATATCTCGGCGTGTGTGTTGTGTTACAGATACAGTAAGACTGCTTGTCAAAGGCAATGAAAAAATCAAGCAAGTAAAAATCCTTACAAATAACAATGTTGAGACCAAGATATCTGTCACGCTAAAACATGTACAACTGTAACGTCTAATAATGGCAGTTAATAGCTTCATTTTTTTAAACATGTGACGATGTATAGGTGACATTTAAAAATAGTATGTTTCATGTCTGAATCGACCTGAATCGTCTGAGTGAATGAGTAAGGTTTTACGCCGCTTTTAACAATATTCCAGTAATATCACGACGGGGGACACCAGAAATGGGCTTCACACATTCTTTCCATGTCGGGAATCGAACCCGGGTCTTCAGCGTGACGAGCGAACGCTTTATGCACAAGGCTACCCGACCGACGTCTGAATTGCACTCATCATCACCAACACGGAATGTATTTACTCACAACATACGTTGCAGCATGACCAGATCAGATGTTTTTCACGAACAGCCCACTCTCGAAACACGGGTACATGGTAATGCAGCCATGCATTCTAGCTACGCATTGTAAGTGCCTTTCAAATAGGACTCGAGGCTCTGTCCATTTGAACAGAACTTCCTCGGATGTTGACGCTAATACTTGAATAATACAGTAGACATTACTAGGCATTTTTCAGTCGGTCTATTTTGTCATTGAAATCTATAATTTTAGTGACATGCTTGGTTAAATAATGTATTCTTTTCGGGTGACATAATGAATTATTTTAATGAAAATGTGGTGGGTGGTTTCAAGGAAAAGTACACACTTCGGCGGAAAGAAATGAAACGGAAAAGACCTCCATTTTCACATTACAATCCACAGTAAAGTTCAGTTTGGCTCTTGTCCAATGATAGCTAGTCATGTGATCATGTGGTGTGCATTAACATCTTTAGACCTATTTAAAGGGCCGTGTGATACACGTGCAATCTCTGGAACACGTGATACTTGTATATACAGTACTTTTACTTTTACGCGGAGAATGCGTGAGTCATAAGCTGGTTTTTGCTTTTCTTTCAGTCATGCATGGTGGCGAGGAAGGTAAGGACAATATGATGCCGATCTTAAACGTTAACCAACGAGCTCCGGTTCTGACAACCAAGGATCAATAACCTACAGATCCTGGCGAAAAAGGGGACGCAACTCCGCACAAACGACGTACACGACTAGCCACCAGTGTCCTGACATGCCTCTGAGGCGGACGCTAACTCCAGTCATGTTCAGCATTGTTCCTCTTCACGATGGAGACAACACCATGATTGTCACATGATCCAAAGCTGTGCTTCTCGCAGCACGCCAATCCCCGCGCTTATCTCTGTGACCTTCAGTGCACTCACCCGTACCCTACTATTTGACTGGGTACTGAAAGTAAAAGTAGGCCGCGGAACCTGATGATACAGGGTGCAGCTGAAACATCTCCATAACGCCAGATGCCATATCAACTTTCGTTGATTGAGGTGTCTAACTGCTATCACAACCACGTAGACATTAGTGACGAGCTTCCATCAACTGGCAACATGGAGTTTCTTCGGAGAGCTGTCTCTACCAAACAACGTCGATTATCCCATCTAGAGGAAAGTGGAGGTTCATCTAAAGGTATTGTTTATTTTTATTTTGTGTATTATGGGCGAACGATTCTATTGGTAGAAAAGCGATGTTTGGTGTCTTGTCGTACATATTAGATTATTAAATGTGATAGCAGCATAGGTTTATCATCGCAATCTGTCGTCCCTTTACGCAATGAATTGTTGATACTTTTTTGTGCACAAAAATATTAGTTTCTTCACTTTTTGGGGGGGATAAATTGCGTTTATCAAAACGTGAGGTACATTATAGTCACGCTAATTCACGCTTGACTAAATATTCGAGTATTTACCACGCAGGATGAAGATGTGGACATCAATATATGAAACACTATAAATTTCACGTATAAGGCACAACAATGTGTAAACTACAAACACTATAATGAATATTCATCGCCTCATAATTGTTTCCATACCTCATTATTATAAATAGAAGACTAAAGGACTGCGTATCATGACTATGGGCTTAGAAATTTGAATTGTAATATCTAAAAACGTATGTGAACGGAAATGTAAAACATATTTGCGTAACTCTGCACACACAAATTAAAGCCGGACACGTTCCGACATTATACGAATTCACTTTTGAGCTTCTGAACGTTTATTTCCCCCTGTATCACCGTAGTAATGCACGTATCCAACTGCAAAGGGGATGCTCTTGTTGAATGCCGAGGGTTTAGGTTTGAAACCTGATGTTTACGTCCCAAAACCCATCCCACTCTGTCCGTCACCACCCCAACCGACCCCACCCTGAACCCCCGCCTACCGAAGGAGATGATGCTTGAGGGTGTTATTTAATCATTTGGTGTGCACGTCAGTGGGCTATTTATACCGAGCGAGTCACTGTATTGTGTAAGTTAATGCTTGAGGGTTTTTCACTCATTGTAACAAATATCCAACTTCGTCATGACGATTTGTGTTGTTGAAAGGGATTCCTGCAGTCACCTGAAATAATTAATCCTGTAAAACCGGAACGACCAGTCTAAGGAAACACAGTATTACATGATATTACACAACAGAGGATAGCCATACATGAGCCTACACGCAATGAGTGAAAATTGTTTTCCGCCGCGTTCAAGGACCAATCACTTCATGTTCTGTCCTGTGTTGCAGAAAAAAGACTGGAAAAACGTTTTTTAGAAAAGAAATACAAATGTACATGATGGATGTCATGATAAAAATGTTTTCTTAAAAAAATCTAATTGTTCGGCTCCTTGATTTTTGGAACTAAATTGTTTGTCATGTAATAGAGATCAAAATATATTCACACTCCCTGGAATATCAAATGGAATATCATTTAGCAGCATTCTCTCTCTGTCCCTTGCGGGTTCTCTTATTGTATAACGTCGGCATTAGAACCATGTCGACACACACATACTGCCACATTGTCAGGCTTCTAGAATTATTCATTGCTGCAGCGTTCGCACTTTTGGGGGGCAATATTCCCCCTAAATCACAGCAGGGGATCCTCTGTACCTATTTAGGGATTCGATCACAGGTCTTAAGCGTCACGAGCCAACGCTTTAAGCACTAGGTTACACCCATCTTCGCCTTTCCGTAGACAAATGCATCAGCCTGACTTTGTGTTATTGTTTTGCAGATTCATTATCAACAGTGGACGATAATACATCAAAGAATGGAATATTTCATATTCCGCTAACGTGCAATATTGAGATGACGTCGCTCTCATCCCTAAATTCTTTGTCGTCAGTGACGTCATCCAACTACTCCTCCAGAGAAAACAGCCCCAAATCTCACCCAAAGAGAGTTTCCTTCTCAAATGACATTGTGTTCGATGAACCCGACACGCCCCTTTCTTCTGCTGACGACAAGATGTCGACGGAAACCCAGTCGCCAAGGGAGGGGCGGTTGTCGACGAAAAGAAGATCACTGAAGGAGGGAAGCTTTTCGACAGAGAGACGGCCAAGGACAATGGGAAGCTTGTCGACGGAGAGAAGGGCATCGACCAGAAGTAGCTTGCCCACAGACAGCTTAGAGAAACAGTTGGTTAAGGAGAGACGCATTTCAACCGAGAATTTTCAATCGGATGATGATTCAGACTCGGACTCGGAATCGGAGAGTCATTTTCCCGAGAAGTTCCGCGCAGTATTGTTTAATAAATTCGGAGCAAAGCGGAATACAGCGCCTGGGATCAAGGACGCCAAATCAGTCGCCCACGTTTACAAAGGAGAAGTGTTAGTGACCGATCTCCTGGACAGCAAAGTCGTTCTTTATGAAAGAAGTGGTAAAGCAAAGCGCACTTTCATGACCAAAGAGAGCTCAGAGCCTTGGGGTGCGACGATGACACCCGACGGACACGTCGCAGTGACGTTGCGACGTCAGCACTGTGTAGCGTTGTGGACAAATGACGGCACCTCGATGGAAGTCTTCGGCAGCGGTTTGCTGCGATGCCCTGCTGGTCTGGCAGTTGATAAAACAGGGAGGGTATTTGTAGCAGATGAACAGCTGAGCGATGTATTTGTATTCGATCAGACGGGGACCGTCTTATTCAAACTGTCAGATTTTCACGAACCTGCCTTCAAACAGCCTCGATATGTTTGCTGCTCTCATTCTGGTCGTATCGTCGTAGCCGACTCGGGCAATCACTGTGTCAAAGTGTTTGCTTGTAATGGCAACTTCATGTTCAAGTTTGGATCCTATGGGAAAGCGAACGGCCAGTTTAGGTTTCCGTACGGTGTGTGTGTTGACCAACACGACAACATCATCGTCGCCGACCACCACAACGACAGAGTGGTCATGTTTTCTGCAACGGGACAGTATATGCAAGACCTTGTCACACCTACAGCTGGGCTGAGAAGTCCGTGTGGCGTTTCCGTCAGATGTGCGCATAACCGGAAGTTGTATATTACGCATGGAGAACTTCGAGCTTCGGAAGTGATCGTATTTAAGCTGATATCTATGGACTCCGAGCTCAGCATAAACGTCAAACATTTTGTGTAGTCAGGATCAGATTCTGTAGAGAGACACAAGCGCAACGACTGTGAAGCACAAAACGTTATACCAGTTTAGTGAGGTTGGCGAGAGAATGCGGGAGAGAGGGCGTGCTGAGCTCAAAATATCCACACAGGACCATTTTCTGCATTTATGGAGAGATAAAAGCACAACGACTACGACGCACAAAACGTTATACAACTTTAGTGAGTGAGTAGAGTTTTATGCCGTGTTCAGCAATATTTAAGCCATACCACGGCGGGGGTACACCACAATTGGGCTTCACACAATGGAACGATATTGATAATCGAACCCGGGACTTCAGCGTGGCGAGCCAAAGCAATAACCACTACCCCACCGCTCCTTTACAAGTTAAAGTATTGTGTAAAGAAGTATTGAATAAAAGACAACATATTAATAAACCTTATTACACTGTGTTATTGTGAATGAAATTGATGGCTGAATTGATTATTTTGCGCTTTGGAGACATAGAAATCGTATCATGATAGTACCGTCCCTGGAGACGAGTGTACCGTGATGAATGTCGTACCGTATTGTACCCGACATGCATATCTCATCGACAAGTGAATACTAGCAGTACGTACACGTATCGTGATACATTCATTATAGTGATATGTATCGTACCATAAGATGCAATGAACACGTTCCTGTGTTGCGAAATCAGTACCGAATTATATTCCACCTGTATGACGACGAGAAGGACATGAGTGTATTATAACATTAGAGTAAACTACGAGAAAGTAAACACTTGAAATTGGATCTGACCAACGTTGTCAACCCGTCTCTCGGCTGTAAACAGTCGGCGAAACACTGCGAAGTCCAAAACACAACTTTGATACCCGTATGATTTACATCACCATCAAAAAACATTTTGTATTTGTTTCAGTTTTAGCCTTCATCAACCATGGGTGTATACTTTCATTCACAGTCTAATAGAGGACGACAGAGAACGTTGCTTTCAAATAAATTGCATGACAAGTGTATGTTAATTTTGCCTCGTAACTGAAAAGTGACTCAGTGGGTCAGCAAGCTACAACTGGGTATGAACAGTTACGTAATTTCGTTGTGACAGGATCCGTGAATCGGGAGTTCGAATACAACTTCGCCCAACCCTTGATATGTCTAAAAAAAACTGTCGTAGAAGGCGACTAACGGGTACTGGTAGTCAGGCTCGCCGACGTGGTTGATGCATGCCATCGTATCCCAACTGCTATGCTAATTATGTCAATCACTGAATTGTCTGGACCAGACTCGATCATTAAAAGACCACCGTGATATATCTGGAGTATTGCTGAGTGAAGCATGAAATAACAGACACACAAACAAACTAACAGCATACACCCTTGCGACGACTTGCATCGGGATTTCCTTCTAATATAACTGGGGGCACGGGTGGCCCAGTACGTCTAAGGCGCCGCAATTCGCTTTGCAGAGTTGCGCCCCTAAGGCACGCCAGAAACTTATGATCATGGGGTCGAATCCAAGTTCGCCCCGATTATGTTTCTGGGTATGTCAGCACCATACCCGTGCTCGTGGATTTCAACAAAGTGTGAAACGTCTAAAACGGGCTTTCCTCCCACATCACATGTTTCCATTATAACTGGAATACTGTTCAAAGCGGCGATAAACCCAACTCACTCTCTCAGTCCAAATGTACCTAAAACATTGTTCAAAACTCACTGTTACTTTAATCGCAGTTTATTTTCGGAACATCTACCGCGCGACCTATCTTTACACGGTGATGCGTCTCGATGGAAGCACAGTGTTAGGTTGCAAACTGCGGCATAGTCGTTGTTTATTAGATCTGAGACATGTAGATCACCTCAGCCTACACAGACACGAGACAAAGAAGGTGACAGGTTGACGTGAGTGATTGTATGAGTGAGTGAGTAGGTATGGATTTACGCAGCTTTTAGCAAGGTGTAACCAATATCACACCAGGGGGCATCATAATTTGGTTTCTCACGTTGTACCCACGTCGGAAATCGAACCCAGGTCTTCGTGTCGAACGAATGCTTTATCCACTAGGCTATAGCTACTCCTACTTGGTCGGCTTCTACACTCGCATTTGGTACTGGCGACCTATTCCTCTATCCATTAAATAGTTGTTGCTATTAAATGCTGAAAACATCGGTACTGATGTTTAGCCAGTATGCAGAGGTGAAGTGAAATGGGGTTTAACGTCGCGTGCGAGGTTATTCCCCTCAGACACAGTACACTTTGAGCCGACCTTGTTTTAACACAAGGCAAGTTAACAACATGTATCATCTTTCAACGTCTATTAGTATGACGCATCCAGGGGATGAAACCACCAACCTTCCACCCTCCGGAGACAGCCCCATATCTAGGACAGAGCTGGGATGAGCAAAGCAAATGTGAAATGATGAGTGAGTGAGTGAGTATGGTTTTACGCCGCTTTTAGCAATATTCCAGCAATATAACGGCAGGGGACACCAGAAATGGGCTTCACACATTGTACCCATGTCGGGAATCGAACCCGGGTCTTCGACGTGACGATCGAATGTGAAATGATGAGGCAAGGTAACCTCTGTGTCGCATCCAGGGCGACCGCCTCCGTGGTCTAGTGTAAGAGCGTCTGCCCGGAGAGCAGAAGATGGGGTTTTGATAGACGGCCGCGTCATATCAAAATACCTAAAAAGATGGAAGTCATATCGCCGTCATGTAGCTGGGCCATTGCTCGTGCGGCTTTAAACATCATACCAACAAACAAATACAAATACAAACAGCCGCTTAAGAGAGCATCCAGTAAAAGTGTTCCTGAAACAGCACGGTGCCACTAAAATAAGAAAAGGGCACTCTCTAGTTCATCTCGGCCTTTTGGGAGGAGTAAGTGAGTATGGTTTAACGCCGCTTTTAGCATTTATTCCAAGGCGGGGGACACCAGAAATGGGCTTCACACAATGTACCCTTGTTGGGAATCGAAAGTTTATGATTTGTTTACGTTTAAACACCCATAATGGATTTCACAATTTTCATTGTATTGCCTTTAGGTTTAATGAATTGATGGCAGGCTTCTCATCTCAAAATGAAAAGTTGATCATTTTCTGAAGTCTGACCCCCTCTAGATCTGTGATTCGAAATTGTGAATATTTATTCGATGCGAGTGTGTGCCGGATTTTTTGCAAGACGCCGAAATATTAATTTATTCATTCTTTTTATTCTTTATTTCAAGAATACAGGTTGTACAGAGTAACGTAAATAGTTGAGTAAATAGATACAGTCATAAACTTTCTTAAAAACAAAAAGAATTACAAAAGACAGGATTTGTTTCCATCAAAAAAAACTTTTTACATTGTCCATTTACTGTGTTACTCCCCGAATTTAACTTTATTGTAGTACATTTTTCGTTTAATTTGATCATAAACATGTAATCCTGTTGTATATGTATTACATTTGGTAACTTGTTTTGCATCGCCGAAGTAGCCGTACTACAAAAACCTCACTGAAAGTCGTCACTCAGCCAGAGACAGTGATTCAACGCGGCATTGTATAGTAGCTACATGTATATCGTGGCATGTCGCTTTCTCTTCTGGTACAATCGCTTTCTCGTCTTGTGCAATCGCTTTCTCGTCTCGTACTATCGCTTTCTCGTCTCGTACTATCGCTTTCTCATCTCGTACTGTCTCTTTCTCGTCTCGTGTTATCGCTTTTTTCGTCTCGTGTTATCCCCCAATCTTACATTCGGCTATATCCTTCAAGTCTGGAAAAAGGCTCCCTCTGTTGACAAATTGGTTATCGCGTTCTCGTATCGTGTTATCGCAATATCGCGACTGCAAATTCAATAAAGCAATGCCCCCTCTCGGGTATCATAGAATATAGGATTCAAACCAACAATCAAATGATTCAGATAGTCCAAGGGAGGCAACTCAGCACAGCGAGAAGGTGAAGTAAGGTGCAATAAATTAAATGTTTACAGAGGAAGCTCATACCCGTATTGTATATCTCTGTGCGCACTGACAGGGTTAATTTTGTATCATTCTGCTATTATAATATCCCACTGTTTACATCTTGTCAGTAATGTTCAATAACACAAGTATCCCTGTGGAACTATTTCAGCCTGTAAAACACCTTTACCGCCGCACATACATGAACAGTTCTAAATGTATCGTACCCATAATAATGTCGTTAATTGTGCGTTAAATATGCGCTTGTCTTTGTTCTTATTAAGTGATGACAATTGTCTCTGGAAAGGCTAAGTACATCGTCACATCTAACCACTATTACAGGCGTAATTACATACTTTGCATGCCAGCATTAATTTACCATTATCCCAAATGTCAATACTACATCACTTGCTATATATGTGTTGCTTATACTCAGCGTACACTTGTTTATAGACAAAGCGTACATTTGTTTAAATACTCGGTTATTTGTTGCATATACTAAGTGTACATGTACATGTGTTCATATGCTCTGCATACATTTGTTCATTTGCACAGCGTGTTGCTTATATTCAGTGTACCTTTCTTCATATACTCTGCGTACATTTGTTCATATACTCTGCGTACATTTGTTCATATACACAGCGTACATTTGTTCGTATACTCTGCATACCTTTCTTCATATACTCTGCGTACATCTGTTCATATACTCACTGTACATTTGTTCATATATTCTGCGTACATTTGTTCGTGTTCTTTGCGTACGTATTTTCATATACACAGCGTACATTTGTTCATATACTCTGCGTACATTTTTTCATATACACAGCGTACATTTGTTCATTTACTCTGCGTACATTTGTTCATATGCATAGCGTACATTTTTTCATATACACAGCGTACATTTGTTCATATACTCTGCGTACATTTGTTCATATGCATAGCGTACATTTGTTCATACACTCTGCGTACATTTGTTTATATAATCTGCATACATTTGTTGCATATACTCAGTGTACCTTTTTCATATACTCTGCGTACCTTTCTTCACATACTCTGCGTACATTCGTTCAAATGCTCAGTGTATGTTTGTTCATATACTCAGCGTATAATTTTTCATATACCCAGCGCACATGTTCATATACTCAGCGTACATCTTTTTCATATGCTCAGTGTGCATTTGTTCATATACTCAGTGTACCTTTCTTAATATGCTCGCGTATGTTTGTTCATATACTCAGAGCACATTCGTTCATATACTCAGGATTCATTTGTTCACATGCTCAGTGTGCATTTGTTCATATACTTAGTGTATGTTTGTTCATATTCTCTGCATACATTTGTTCATATACTCAGCCATTTGTATTTATACTCAGCGTACATTTGTTGCATATACCAAAGACCATATAATAGATGGTCTCTGCATATACTCAGCGTACAATTGTTCATATACATTTGTTGCATAACTTTAGCGTTCATTTATTACCAAATAGTCAATGTACAGATATTGCGTATATTCTGCATATAGCGTACATTTGTTGCATATACTCCTCGTATTTGTATCATCGGATATTAAAAACACCTAGCTCGCTTCGATCACAGAATTTATCTCGGCCAACATTGGAAGCCATTTATATTGGAACTGGATTCATCAGTAACTATCACATTTTATTATACAATCGGCAGTCACGTATTCTTTATTTCTATTGACCATCACAAAGCTTTTCTAAAAATCCGCCGTCATGGTATACAGACTGCACCCTGAGGAGTCTCGCGCGGATTACATTTGCCGGAACAGGAAATAGTCACTGGGAGCTAGGTCTGAGCTGTAGGGTGGGGCATTTAACTGTACAGCCCAGTGACTATTCCCTGTTCCGGCAAATTAAATCTGCCCTACGTGGAAGACGCTTCAAGGATGACGAGGACATAAAGGCTGCCAAAGAGGCGTGGTTACAGGCCAATCTGCGGATTTCTATAAAAGTGGTATTAAAAGCTTGAAGAAAAAATGGAACAAGTGTATTGAGGTGAATGAAGATTATATGGAAATATAAAAGTGCAAAAGATATTCTGCGACTTGGTCTTATATTGAAGTTGCAAAATTATTGAACGTCCCTCGTATGTGCATTATACACATACACGTTTTTCGTGTTGGCAGGGGATGCGGTTTACATAAATGATTTCTCACAGTTCAAGACGTGAATTAAATCAGTAGAATATGTGATCGTTAACGCCTGGAATGCGGGCATAGTGACTATGTAAATGAAGAAGCCCTTGGAAACAACTTGCAGTTATTTTTCTAAAGAAAGCAATTTGAATATGTGAATACTATACGTCCGCTTCAGTCACTTTTAAGTGAGTGAGTAACGCCGCTTTAAACAGTATTACTGTTATATCACGGCGTGTCAGCTTAATGTGGGAGGAAAGCCCGAAGTGATGCAGGTCTCAGACGTTTACCACTTCGGTGAAACCCACGAGCACGGGTATGATGCTGACAAATCTAGAAACATAATCTGGCGAACCGGGATACGAACCCACAATTATAGGTTTCTGGCGTGCTCAAGGGACGCAACTCTGCAAAGCGAATCGCCGCGTCTTAGACGACTGGGTCACCCGTGCCCCGCACTTTTAAGAATCACACGCGATCCTTCAGCTTAAAGTTGAAGGAAAGACCGAATGGTCGCAGGCGTTAGGCCTTTACAATTTGGGTGAAACCAACGAGTATGGAGAGTTAGTGCTAAAGTACAGTCGGAAACTGCTTTTCTGACTTCATTTAATAAATACGAGTCATGGAACTATTAAAAGATCATATATCAAAATATCGCAAATTGTCCTTATCTAGCCTGACTGACACTGTGACACTGTGATTACCCTTAAAATGTACTTTTACAAGAAAAATGATGATCAACTTAGAAAATATTCGTGTGTTGTCATGCATGTATGAAATGGCCTATAACCTGAGGTTTTTACCTGTGGTACCTGTGGTTTACCGAGGTGATGACCTCACACCTTTCCTTTGCAATCTCACAGGTGTTAATGTCACCGAGTTGGGGGTGGTCTCAAAACATTGCTGTTATTGTACTTAATTGCCATGTGCGTTGATGGGGTAGCAACTTAGGATATGTACTGCATTATATTTGCTTGGAAACATGATGGGAATAGTTAAGAGCTATGAAACGGGATGAGTATTGGAAGGATGCGATTTTGGAATCCAGAGGTATTTGTTGTTCTACAGATGATTTCTTGAGGTAGCCTTTATCTCCGCTGATGACGTATATGAATCTGTACTTTTGAATGTCGTGTTATGTCTTGCCACGAATCCTTTACTCTTAGCCAAGATGGGCACAACAGGGTTGAGCTCACAATGTCTAACTGGCGTACGTGAGAAAACGTCACCGTATTGTGCCGCCAGCACAAATGTCCTGTACTTTACAGGGTTCTTATTCAGCCGAATTTTCTCCATAAGTTGAACTTTCGTTTTATATGGTCTGAAGTTGACAATGTCATGTATTCCTGTATGGTCGCCTTCAGACAACTCATGGTTTGGGTGACAGTATCTGATTCCCGGACGTTATATTAACTGGCGTAATCCATGACAATGACACAGACGTTGTTTAAAATGGGCAATAGCTGAAGTTCCAACCAGTCTAAGAACACATCACCTCCTTATGAAAATCACCAGTTTTCTTTTTTCGCCTCGAAAACCAGCACACATCCATCAATAAGCCCCATATCAGTGGTTATCATATGGTAAATTATCTGGACGCCTTTACTGTGATAGTTATGAATGGTTCGAAGATCATGTGACCTCACAGACAGGATAGAATATTTTCCCCTGAAAAGTGCTCGGTCATCGCCACGCGCAGTGTATCGAAATCCCATCTCTTGGAGAGCAATAGTTAGTGCAGTTAACATTAATTGTATCTTTAATTCCTCCCAAATTCTTCAAGTCAGGGTTACCTTCTGCTAAAAAAGCTTGTACCCTATACGCGTAATCACCATGTATCAAAGCTGTCTTATATCCTTTTACGTCCCAGTTTTGTTTTTGAGAAGACCCCTATACCTGGTTTGTTTTATTTATCATTCCGTAGACTTGATGGTATGAATTGAAAATCCAATAGCTTGGGCAGTTCGGTAATTCACCCATTCTAAATTGATAAATGGTTTCCCTCTATCTCTCTAAAGTGTAAAGAACTTGCATACATTTCCCAGTACAGACTCCATATCGTGGACCATGGTTATGGCTTTGGAAGTGTAATGTAACATGCATCATGGGAGCAATGTTAACAAAACAAACGCAGCATCATTTTGTCATTTTAGTAGATGTGCATCTAGAATTTTCTCAAAATGAGTTTTGTGTGTGGATGAGATGTTTTATTAAGACTACATTATTATCATTATAACGGAGTCACGTTCGCATATTTCTATAGTCCGTTTCAGACTGCCACCATTGCACTTAGAATAAAAGTAAATTTCCTGTTTTCGTTCGAATTTGTCTCCTGTAAACTTGTCGATAGGACTCCTTGTGACTGAAATACTTCAAACCACAGGTAGGTCGATCGGTAGTTATTCGATATTTCAATAACAACAGTCTGTGAAAAATTATATTCTTTTATAACAGGCAAAAAGCAGTTTTCTAGCATTTCCGACAGTACTTTAGTTTGTCATACAGACCCTGGAAGACATATATTCAGTTCAGCCCATGCAAGTCTAGCGGGTAAGTCTAGATAACTACAATGTAGTTTCATTCTTCGCTCGGAACAACTCAATTTTAAACATTTTGTTCCATATCTACTTGGATGTGATACTCTAATGGGACCATATTGAATACAACCACCTCCAACGACATGAGGTCCCCGTGTGTGATGTAGAGTTTTCTGGTGTGTGATGATCTTACTGCAACACCACATGGCCTATTCAGGCCTTTGGCCGAGGTGACAAGATTCTGTAGGAATTCACCGCAAGGAGAAAACAAAACCACTCGGTCATTATAGTGATCGGCAACAATGATGTTGTCATCTTGGTCTGCACACACTCCGTATGGGAATTTGAACTGGTCATCTTTATTTCCATAAGATCCAAAATGGAAAAGAAGCTTTCCTTGAGTGTTGAAAACCTTCACACAATGGTTCCCAGAATCAGATACTAACACACGGTCAGAGCGAGAGCACCACACATATCGAGGTTGACACAGTGTCGTTTTCATGGTATCCGAAAATCTGTGTGAAATCCTCCCTGTTTTGTGAAACACGTATACGTCATTCTCCTCCTCATCACTGACGTAAAGTCTGCCTGATGTATCCACTCCTAATCCAGTTGGACATTGCAGTAGATCTTGCCCAAATTCTCCTAAACAGTGACCATCTGTTGTCCACACCGTCACGCAACGTTGACGTCGCAGCGTTACGGCCACGTTACCTTCTGGCGTCATTACTGCTGCACAAGGCTCGGAATACTCGCTTGTCAAAAATGTTCTCTTTGGTAAGCCACTTCGTTCATATTGAACTACCCTTCCATCCAAGAAATCGGTGATTAATATGGCTCCGTCGTAAACATACGAGACGTATTTGGCATCAACAAGGTTTGGTTCACTAGTAGACTAACATTTAGTCTCTGAAATCTTATATTACACAATATCCTTCTTGACTCTAAAAATAAAAACAATTCTCTATGCTGATTTCAGAATAGAGCTAGCTTGAGATGGCTAGACTTGCTTTTGTATGCATTTCTAGATTATTATTTTTTCATAAAATAAATATATTCCACGGTCATGGTGCAGGACTAGTTCACTAGTTGCGCCAAACTTATTAAACAAATTGACTTTGAAACATATTTGTGTCTGTTTGTTGTCACCGTCGAGCGAATCCTTTACACTGCCCCTTCGCCTTTTCAATGTAACGATGAAGTTTGCAACATTTTCAGCAAAGGAAACCCTTCTTTTCGTATTTTTGCGCGGGTCAGGCCTCCTTCCCGGGTTTTTATGCGTCAGTAACGATGTAGCAGTGGATGTCATGTTGCCAGGGCTGGACAGAAAAAAGAGGTGTAAATTGAGGATTATTACCCCCTAACACAGGCTGGTGATTATCTCTTTCACTCATGAATATCGTTTTTCAGTATCAGTTTATAAAGTTGTGTTAACTTGATCAACGGCCACCTGTTACCGATTACTTTTTTTGCGCATGAAAGCTGTGAAATGTACAATCCACACCCTGTCACTTGGAAACATAATACGTCACACGGGTATATTGTTGTTTTCATCACAAAGTGTTTGCTATCAGGTTAGGGCAACCCTAGATGTTGTTCCAATTGTTAAGGCATATTTCCAGTTTACAGCGGGAGTATCTGTTCTAGCTTTTTGAGATTATTAAATACATCCTTCTTTTTCAATACAATCTTGATAAACTTATCTGTCGGGTTTGTTGGGAAAGACATGTGAGTGAGTGAGTGAGTTATTATTTAACGTCACATGGGCAATATGGGAAAGACATGTACAATGAATGTTCCAATTGTTGTAATTTTCATATGGTGATTTGTGACAGGTGTGATCATGTCGAAAAGAACTGAAACAATATCTATTATCTGAATGTACAAAGTACAATTACACGTTCTCAGATCAAACCATCCGGGTTCGAACCCTATGTTTTCGGAAAATAAACTTGTCAATAAATGCAAAATATAGTTCCGTCAATTCCAAGTGGAAATAAATATAAATGTTGGTTCAAGATAATGTACAGTTGACAAATAACTCTCCATTCCTGAAAAAAATGGAGCGTTCAAACAAGAGAATGAAGTCACATTTGTGTTTAAATTAAACGAACTGAAGGAAAATGTTTGGCAAGTCTTACTTAATTTTAAAACTTGGAACCATAATTTACCTATTGAAAGTGGGAGAAAAATAGTTTTAATCAAAAGAGATTGCAGATGTTTTGTATCTATTCTCTCTCTCGCTCTCTCTCTCTCTCTCTCTATATATATATATATATAGAGAGAGAGAGAGAGAGAGTATATAGATAGATATATAGATATATAGAGAGAGAGTTTTGATTAAAACTATTTTTCTTCCAGTTTCAATAGGTAAATGATGGTTCCAAGTTTTAAAATTAAGCATATATATATATATATATATATATATATATATATATATATATATATATATAAGTTTATAAAGTTTAGCTTTTTATCGGCCTCAGTGTAAACAAAAGTTCCGTTCAGTTGGATTGGGCTATCGTCTGTGAACGAAACCGATAAAAAGCTAAACTTTATAAACTTTAAGTTAGCAGAGCAACAAAGTGGTGTTTTAACGACTTGCTAGGATTGCCAATTATCTCAATCCCAGTTCCCTTTGGTGTCCTGCTGTATGACCTGCCCCAGCATGGATGCAAGCATGAGCGAGTCTTCCCATGGCAGACAGTTATGACGCCACGATGGTTACCACGATGGTTGCCATATACCGTAACACCCAGGGAAGCAAAGATATGTTCGTGATGAACGATGCTGCTCAGTTATTATTTAGACATGCCTTTATAGCTGTAGGAGCTAACCTTACCTTTAGAACTTTATCCAAAGTGCCAGTGCGCCACGTCGACACCTGTTGGTTGAGTCCGATTGAGTTTCAGCAAGGACGAGCGAACGCAGTCCTGGTACGTGCAATTGCGACTGTTCATTCTGGACTGCCCAAGTTAGCCTGAATGATACAGGTATAAGCGGACTTTAAAATACCCGATCTCATGTTTTTCTGTGGTTGCACTGTTGGTACACTCATGGTATACACTCGTGTTTACGACTTCTCTTTCTTTTTCTTACGCTGTCGATTTAACGAGCGCTTTCTTTCAGTTCGTGCACTGGATTGTAACAGCCTTAGTACTTTAACTGAAATGCTCTGATTAACTGTAATTTTCTGTTGTTGTGAGGCAGTATACATTGTAGGTGATGATTTTTGTGGCACCTAATTAAAACACTCACAATATGTCAAGCGTTCTGATACACCAACGGCAGCTCGCAAAATAGAGTGATCTCCTATAGTGCTTACAGTCCATAATTTGTCCCAGTGCCCGACACCTTCGTTAGCCCCCCTCCCCCCAGATGTAGGAGCTCCACTTCCAGGTCTGCATAGTTTGAGTCGCTTCCAGAGGTTACAGTTTCTAGAAGTTTCTTAATTCTGTAGGTTACGAGTTCTGGCTTAACCTTTGCGTTTCAACTTGGGAATCAGCACCTAACACTGTTTATCGACATTGTAAATATAAAATATTATCTGTTATTTTCAGCAGCAAGTCTGCATGACTAAAACTGCTGTGAGTCAGACATGATGTCACACTGGCACGCTTTGGTGTAATTGGTGATGTCATTTGCTCCTATGACAATATTTGCCCGTTTAGCAGTAGTGAAATCTAAGGTTTTTAAATAAGTATTAAAATACCATGACACGTTATGGTAATTTGGGACTGAGCAAATATCTGCGGTTTTGACACTTGAGACTCCTGTGGCATTGATATCCCTGACTCGTCTGGTACAGACACTTCTGATGCCTGCTGTATATATATATTTATTATATCTGTCTGGCATAGATGTTTCTTTCGTTTCTGGTACAAACCCTTCCGAATCAAACCCGCTTTGGCGTGACCATTCGAGTAACCCACCGCCCTACTGGCGTTGAGAACACATGGCATGTGTGCAACCTTTAAGGCACCCGTTTGCAACGAGTTACCAATGGTGTGCAATGCGTGTGACAGGGCGTGTGACGTAGTTTTCAATGTCATGGGGGGCAATGAACACTAGATATCATTGTCCCGGACAATGTGTGCTAGAGCACAATAGCACTGTTCACTGACATTTAGTGAACATTTCCCATTGACAATCCTTCTTGAGGAACCATTGTCGAGGGTTAGGTTTCAATAACCAATTTTATGCCCATGTTTCAGTGCTCAATGTCCTACAATCCTGAGGTCAATGTTCGTTTCAAAAGAGTCGAGGATAATACGCCTTACAGAGTGACTTTTAAACGTCTAGATATTCGTCTAATTATATATGCATGTATACACTGTACGTCAATGTGAAGTTAAACGTTCTAACAAAAACAATAACAACTCTTTAACACGATATGGTTCAATAATGTTTATTGAAATTTGTCTTGGTTTACGCAGTTTCATTTCATACATGAGTCCTTTTGACAACGTAACAATGATAGAAATAAAATGATACATAGAATTATTTCAGGTTTGGATAAAAACCAATCAAAATAAAGTTGGTCTATAAAGAAAATTACATTTTGCTGGGACGGTGGGGTAGTGGTTAAAGCGGTCGCGCATCACGATGAAGACCCGGTTTCAATTCTCCTCCTAGGTACAATTAATGTGTGAAACCCATTTCTGGTGGGGTACGTATTACTGGAATATTGCTAAATGGGTCGTAAAACATACACACTCAGAATTGTTTGATAGGCCTTACTTAGAAGTTGACGGATGACAAAGTAGACAGAATTTATGGATAAGAACTTCTTAAATACTGTAAAGGCCTTTGTTGAAGTTGTTGTTATCCATAAATTGTGTCTACTTTGTCATGCACACTCACATTCTGCTTATCAAGTGAAAGTGAGTACGTGTTTATGTGATGTGTACTCCTACCTTGTAGATATATCGCAAAACTATATGAACGTGATATTCACTTTTCCTTCGGGCGAAAAGCAAATGTACTTCTTGGTACGACCTCCTATTTCACATGGACAGGGATTCATCTTTTGTCAAACTTTTGTTCCCTCTGATACAAGTGAGTCACGGGTCATACACCAACGGTGGATGCGTTGCACACACGTGGCCAACGCGTAGAACGCGGGTGGCACATGCGTGACGAACGGATTCCTCACCAGCAGCCAACGGAGTGCACTCGCGGTGCCCATGAGTGAAATTGCAATGAACTTCTTGGCAGTAGTAGTGTTTCTGTAAATAAACTAATATTGCTGAATGATAGTTCAAATGAACAATGAACCACAGTGTCTGAACATGTTGACGTTAAGGGTCACGTGCACGAATTTGTTTCATACTCATTCATTTGATATGTTTAAAGAAAGGAAAAGTATATCGTCAACGTTTTGTGTATCCAAAATTTAACTGATTAGACACAAATTCGATTTAGATTGCGTTATATATGAATGAAAATAAACAACAAAAAACATTTCGAAACTCACGTTTGGGTAGAACATCCGTTAAATTGCACCTAAGTTTATATAAGGTGAGGTGAAATGGGGTTTAACATCGCGTCCAAGATTATTGCACTTACATAGCGACATGCATGCACGTGTGTGTGTGTGGCTGCTTGTACAAGTCCGGACTGATGCCGATTTTTAGTGCTAGCCCACTGAGATACCATGCCGCAGTTTAACATGAATATCCCACTCAGACTCCGAGCCGACCAGTCCATGTTTTAGCCCCTTAATGCCGAGCGCCAGACAGGGTAACAACAAGTTATATTTATATAAAGAGCAGATACAACAAAACAGTGTGAATGCACAAAGCCCGACTAAACACATTACACAACACTACCGTTCAGCAGCTGTCGTCGAGTCCCAACTGACACAGTTCATAAACACATAATGGTCACCCAGACATCTTCTCCATCTCGTATGATGACGGTAAATAAGGCGACTTATTTCATAGGTGGTCAGGTCGGTGATGTTGCTAATAATACAACTAGTTTGACTGTTCCAGACTGAATTATTTAGAGGCGGTTGTATTCCAAATAGATGGAATATACCCGAGTGCTGCTTTAAAGAACATGTAAACAAACCAAAAATCTTCTCCATCCCGCGACTGATCACTGACGGTAAGAACCCTCAGCTGTCGTTGGACAAGTGAATATTCTGTAAATCAAAACAATTCACGTGAGTAAATACCTCTCGAAAGGAACACCTTATAATCCATCACTTCAATGTACACGAAAGTAGTGTAAACACAGTGTATGTAAAGAAAATGTTGAACACACGTTCATGTGAAAAAACACGTAACCGTACTTCTTACATACACAGTTCTATTGCTGTTTAGACACTAAAACGTTGTACATTAAAACTTAAAAAATTGAGAAAGACAATGGCAATTCATTCCCCGGAAATTAATTACCCACTCAAAAAAAGCTTTTGATTGCGACAATGTTGACTATACCATTTCTATTTTCGAGATATAATTGGATCCCCAAAAAGGTGCCTATCACCAGCAGCGCAGTGGATGAGGTCATTCGATAACCAGACAATGGAATATGGTAGTATCAGCAACAGAAACTGTTATTGGAGTGAAGTCATGTCAAACATATTCTTTCTTGTGTGATCCTGCGTTAATTGTAATTCAGAGTAGCCACTTAAAGTATAGCATCTGGCCTACAAAATAGGTCCTGCTAGCTGTTGATCAAAGAATTGCATATCACCTAGCAATGCAATCTTACCAATGTATCAGGTTGAAGCCAAAGACCTCAACTTCACAAAACTGCAGCATGTCGTTTCTTTTTTTTGTTTTCTTTCCACTAACTCTCAGGTAGCGTCCAGTCACGGGTGAGGTGCACTGTATGGCAACAGTTGTGCCAGGTTCTGTGACGGCTCCGCTGTACATGTAACGCAGTTGTGAACTGAGATAATGGTTAACCATTGGGTCGGCTTGGTACATGTCCAGAGAAAAGTCGTGCAGGCGTTCAGCTGAAACATCAGTGTTATGTAACGTGTACAATATATGGTATTAACAAATTTAAAGATTCCTTCGCGACTCATTGTTAATAATATAGAGGCGAATACTGTATTAAAAAGAATGTGCTTGACGTTTGTTTTATGTTTGAAATATCAGCAAATATAATGTTGAAAGATCCAACAAACGTTTGTCTTACGACAACAGTCTTGTCTACTGGTGACACGGACTTCCACAACGATGTAGGTGTCCAGCAGGTCCACCTGCCACCAAGGTGATAAATCACCGTTCTTTCCATGAAAACAGGAGCCAGAAGACCACCTTGCTCTTAGGTCACCGTCCACTGCAGCACTAGGCTGGTGCTTGGTGTCGAAGAGAGTACTTGCATTTGTAGGCTTATTCTTGGCAATATTTTGCAAACCCTCTTCTGCTGTAAGAAAATAAACAATTTCAGATTAAAGGCAACTAACAGGTTGAAGATGTGCTGGTAATATGACTTAGTTGGAGAGAATTTATAATGTCTTGAGTCCCATAGTTCGTATATCCCGTGCATGTGTACATTCTGCTACACGTGTGGTTGAAAAGGGTACTTATAAACCTCTAGTGACGTCACTCTATTGTCTCGCCAGGGTCTTCTCTACCGACTAAACCTCTACTGGTAGTTTACAGGCCATTCCCAGGGTAAGCCCCGGGCATTCCCAGGGTAAGCCCCGAGCATTCCTAGGGTAAGCCCCGGGCTTTCTGCAAAAAATCCCGGGAGATTTTCTACTGAAAGCCTGGTTTTTGTCCCGAAAAATACCCTCTGTATTGAATTACCTTTCTGCATAAAAAAACATGGCTCAACTATTTATTGATATTAGTTGAAATTGAAAGTCACAGTTCGAATTAGTTTGTCTTCAGGTCATTGGTCATCTGCTCTTTTCGGATCAGCTTCTTCACGTGATGGCGAGTTCATTTTTTTTCAACATACTAAGTATGTCAGAGAACGTTGCGTTTTGGTTGTCAGAAGTTCTCTTGTAATTTCGAACGGCGTCGCTCCGATGTCCTGAAACCCAATATTACCATATATATCATAAATAGAAAAGAGCATCTTACTGGTTTGGAAAAAATATTTCTTTGATATGTTATGACTTTTGCTGAATAACAATTTCCGATTACTGCAGGACTAAAATGTTTATCAACCTACCGGTAATTTCGCAAAACATTTGTTCATCAACGTCACCTTGATACAATCGAGTGGCTGCCGTGGCTCTCAAGGAATGGTTTGTCTTCATGCCCTCAATACCGGACGTCTTGCACAGTCTTTTGACGGTAACTTGTAAGGTTATTTCACGCTCGGAAAGTGGATCTCCTAAACGGAATTTAAAGTCATCACTTTCCTTGTCTTCTTCAGCACAGGATGCCGATTCTTTAAAAACTGACTGCGTCAGAAATATATCGTTGTTGTCTGCGTCCATCCTCTTCAGTGGAATTCATTCGACTTGGCCTCGGGAAAGGGACTCGGGACTTGGCCTCGGGAAAGGGGGTCGGGCCTATCGGCCCTCCCCCCTTTCCCTCCTCCGCGGGCATACTTCCCAAACAAAACCTCGGACGCGGTTTTGATCCTACACATACAAAGTCGTCCCGTGAAATATCCGGGCTAGAATTGGTCTTCAGACACCCTTGTTTGTTGTTTAACGGGATCATGTGGTCATGCTTGCTGACGTGGTTGAATCGTATCCCAAATGCGTATTGTCTGGCCAGACTGGATTATTTACAGGTCGCCGTCATATACTTGTCGCTGGAACCTTGCTGTGTGTGACGTTAAACAACAAACATATAAAGTCAGCATGTGTGCTTGTGTGGATAAGTCATGGGGGGCAATTGGTAGTTGGTTGGTCAATGAATTCGATATTCTTTACTTTGACACTTCCCTCATTGAGCTATCATGCCGTGATACAACTGATGTTCCAAGCTCAGAGCAGTATTGCACCCAATTCCCCAGTCTTTCTTGTTATAATTACGGCTTTGAATCGGCAATAATAAAATTATTCTCATGTATATTGTATTTGCATTATACTGACTTCCCTGTGAAAGTGTTCAAAACCTTTTGCAGGTACTCGTAGACATAATGAATCAGAGTAAATGTGTTCAATGTTACGTCGCTTTGAACAGGATTTGAGTTATATCACGGCATGCCAGTCTAATTTGTGTGTGTGTGAAGCCAAAACTGATGCACATCTGATGATCAGACGGTTACTACTCTGATGTGATGAATCAGGGCTGTTAACGATCATGGCACGAGTATTTTCTCGTTTCTGATCAGTATTTTTGAATATTTTTTTTCAAATTTGAATATACAACATTTTTTTTATGAACTTCATTTGAATATGTAATATTTGTTTTGTTTCATATATATATATGGGACTCACAAGTTGAAGCCTTTGGTGATCGGCAGTGCCCAGAATCCCAAGGGTGCTTTCATCACGTCAACAGAGAAGCACTGCCCACACACTACAGCGCCTCTGCAAATGCGTGGATGACAGCCAAGATTTTTGAAGATTGGTTTTTCCACAAGTTTGTCCCAGCTGTCCGTGACCATCTCCGATCACGGAACTTGGAGGAGAAAGCCATCCTCCTATTGGATAACTGCCCCGCCCATCCCCCAGCAAGTACATTGCAGTCACATTATGGACTAATAAAGGCATTCTTATTGCCGAAAAACACGACCTCCCTCATTCAACCGCTCGACCAAGGGATAATCAAAGCATACAAGGCACATTATCGGAGATTTTTAGTGAGTGCGTTGGTGGATAGAGGATTGGACCCTGTTGCGTTCCTGAAGACAGTCACAGTGAAGGATGCTGTTCTTCACACATCCAAAGCCTGGATGAAGGTGACGCCAGCCACCATCAACAACTGCTGGATGAAAGGACTTGGACCAGCATTCGGGGTTGACGAAGATTTCGTGGGGTTTCAGGAAGAAGATGTCATCGATGCTGTACAAAAGTTCCGCGACTATGCTAAGGAGAACAGCATCGATGTATCCCAAAAGACGGCCATGATGTGGAACGCGTGCGATGACAACCTGCCGATTGCCGAACTTCTCAACGACCAAGTGTTGGTTGCCGCAGCAATGCCCGTCGAAATCATCGACGATGAAGAGGAAGAGGAAAACAGTGACAGTGAAAACAGTGTACAGGCAATGGCACCCTCCGTTCGAGATGCCATTTATGGGGCCGAGCTTTTATTGCGGCACTTAGAAAAAAGTGAAAAATACGAACAGCTACACGTGATGCAAGTCCGCTGCATACTGTCACAACTTAGAAACGAGGAACGTGACAGTCAGAAACAATACAAAATTAGTGACTTTTTTAGTAAATAGAAATGTGTTCATACATTACGTCATGTACACACACCAGTTGCATGGTATCAAGAATTTTGAGTGCAATTTTCCCTTTGCATAATTATCATTATTAACGGAACTAAATATATCTCTTATCCACTCAAATCTACGTTTGTGTTTGTGTTTGATTTTTATAAATCGCTCAAATGACCGTGTAGTTATGCACGTCATGTCAATGTACATTGTACATAAAGTGCATACAGAGAGCCGGCCGTGTCCGGGTTTTTCATAACTTTGACACGTCATTATTTATTAACCAATCACAGCCTTGGTTGCACATTAGTTTCGTTACAAGGCTGGTTTGGCTTTGTAATGTACTGTCATCGATCGATAATGTGAGTAGATCGGCGATCGGACCAATTTTCTCCCGAAAAACTTAAAATATAACAACATTTATTTAGATTCTACAAGTATAACATCCAGTCGTTAAATAATACAGACTACTTTGATATATTTACACAAAGTATTTTTATTTTTTTACGCATGCAGTTTGAATCATCGTCCACGATCAGTGTTACATAGATCTACATGTCCCATGCCACTGTGAAATAATTGCGCCACTGTTCCATTCCCTACCATCATTACGTAATGTGAACCTCAGCAAGGAATATCTGTACAACGCGCTTTCCTACACCGCGGGGTCAGTTTCTTGGACCCCGATGACAGCGGTATATCGAGGGATCACTGTATATATATATATATATATATATATATATATATATATATATGAACTTGGCCAGGCGCTGGCGGTGGAGTAAAACAGACTCCCTCAAATCGCCCTTGGGATATTCATGTGCAGTATGGCTCGTCGTGTGAATGAATGTTTGACAAATCTTGGAGGTGTTACATGTACACGTCAGCTTCCATTCCGCCAATTTTCCATCTTATTCCTATCGTCATTCAAGACATATACATATAAACATATACAACTCCAGACATACCACAATGTACTTTGCCATTCCTTCTCCCATTGCATCTGTGTGTGTATTTACACGGCATAGCACGGCATGGACCCAGTGGAGTCTGTGACATTGAATACAGATAATGTTTTAGAAGTATATCATCACATTACTGTCAAGTTATTTCTATTTTCACCAGAATATTTAGTTGGTTTTCAATATTTTCATTTGAATTAAGCAATTTTCATGATAAACCGATAGAATGTTATAGATATGAAATATAGTTACTTATTGCTTGTTGTTAACATAGCCAGTAAGAAAATACTGTTGAAAAAAACCCTGTTAAAAACAAATCTATTCCTCATCTCCACAGTATATTTTGTTGCTGGATGGTGCTTCAAGGAATCACAAGCGGTTGCTTCAGTCGCCAGATGTAAGTGGGGTTGGCTTCTAGACAACAATATTTATTCTTGAAATATAGCTTTACCTCAGATCTCACCAAAACAATCATAAGTGTGTGATGGACACACTGGAAACAAATTGGTTGAAGAAATTGTATGCCTGGAATCAATGGCAAACAATATTCGGTGTCTTACAAATCTATCTTTCATTTATTTAATTGTTGTACTTAAATTATTTAATATCCTACCTGGTTCCAACTGCTGATCGAACTGTAGATGAAGTCCGGCTCTTTCCTTGAACCTTCCAGACAACTGAGCTCATCTAAGCTATTTAGGTGACATGCTCTTCTCCTCAATTCGAAATTGAAGGATTTGCATATCCCGTATGAATCACACTCTGCTGCACAGGTGAACAGAGATGATTCATCAGTTACCTTAAATGTTGATCCCACAAGACGCTGCCCGTATTGTAGTTCAGGCATACATGCATTTCCTAAAAGAAACATGCATGTAAGTATCAGACAACAAATAGTGTCAAAAATCACGTAGCCACCAAACGACATGAGACATGTGTTTTCAATATCAACACGTTGATGGCACGAGTGTTGCAGAGACGTCTGACAAAGAGAGCCGACGTAACTAACATTCCAATGCCCAAACACATTATGGCCTTGTTCATCTGCCTCCGGCAGTTACAATCATGTAACTAAGCAACATGTAAATGATAGTTTAATACAATATTCATCACCGTCATTTGTTCAGATTATTATACGTCATTATCAACGTTTCTGTTGATGTTTTTGTGGTCTCTTATATGTCACAAAAGGCCAAGGACATGCAGTTTTGTCAGAGATTTCATATGAAAATTGGTTTGGTCGCTCATTTTCGCATTTACAGCACATAACAGAATAATGTTGTCTTGTGTCATTTAACTGTATTAAGCTCAGCACATTTTAGGGGCTCGGGTATTTTGTTCTTTCAATAGCTAAAATTTTGGAAGCTGTACAACATTATTGACATGAACATGACGAACATGTTTCTAAACTGAAATCTGGACTTGTTGGGTTCAAATCCCGAATGGTGTTATAGTCCAGGCCCTTAGGGGGATATAGTGCAGATTTGTCTACAAGCATCAAATTTGGCACAGGTGTAGACCAGAACATACTTAATTCATTTTTGAAGGGCGCCAAAGCCGGTGATCATTGGGGCCGCCATATTGGCGAAATTCAAGATGGCCGACAGTCACTATTGGCATTTGTCCTAACTTCATAACCAAAGGGGGCGGTCGGGTAGCCTAGTGGTTAAAGCGTTCGCTCGTCACGCAGAAGACCCGGGTTCGATTCCCGACATGGGTACAATGTGTGAAGCCCATTTCTGGTGTCCCCCGCCGTGATATTGCTGGAATATTGCTAAAAGCGGCGTGAAACCATACTCACTCACTCACTCATAACCAAAGGCATAGGATCATGAATGAGGGCTCATTTTACAGGTTTTTGACCTTAAGGATTCCAAATTTGAGCTTTGTTTTGACATAGAAGTGCGTTTTGGCAAATTACGTGATTTGCTGGTATCCTCGAGAGTTTGATATGGTGACCAGATACCACCGCCTTCCTTTTGCCACCCCCATTCACTAAATTCAGGGATTTCCTGGCGAACTGGGGCTGCTTGATTCCAGTAAAAGCTTGCCTAGAGCAGTGCCCTTCTTATGTGTTTTTATGGGTGGTGTATTTTCAGTTGTAAAGAGACGATGTTTGGCTTCGTTGACTTTAGCCAAACCACACCCCTTACTAAACACGATAAATACAAAACGTTCCAGTTTCTGTATGTGAGGAGACTCAAGGCTGAACAGATCTGGTTGATTGGTTCAAGTCACTCAGTGAGTCCTGGTGTGTTTTGCCAAAGATGACCAGTCAGTCTTCTTGCCACACACAAGGAGCTGTGATGTCGTGTCGCACCCTGTAATGCAATGGAAAAGCGGCAATATTAGAGATCACGAAAGTCCAAGATTGGAAGAGATATCATGGATGTGAATATCGCGATTTTTTCCCGCTACCTAAACACACCCACAGCTCTGACAATGTAGAGAAGAAGCCACCACATCACTATCAACATTACGAACATAAGCTATCTGGTGCCTACAGCATGTGCCAGATGAAGGAATATCTTGACAAGCTCCTCACTGAGGAAAGAGAATAACTCCTTTTCGTTATCCTCATTTATGAGAAATCCACTGTTCCAGTCATGCTTTGGGATTCGTGTGTGGCCATCCCCAGTCATCGTCCAAGGACCTGTATCACGAGGCTGATGTGTGAGGGATTTGAGGTTGTTTTCTGGGTTTTTATCCCACATGGCATCTATGACAACTGTTGCGGTTATCTGAGACTCCAGGAATGGCACAATGTGTTGTGTAACAAACACAGCAAATGTCTTCGCTGATTAGGGCCGGACCATATGAACAACAGTTGCCATATCCTACACAACAACTGTGGCTAATCTGGCTGGATGTGCTCGACCAATTGGCGATTTGATTCATTCCAGAATATCAGACTTGTTGCCGAATCGAAGTGAACCACTATCAGCCAATGGTGGTTCCTATATTTTCAAAACGAAAAAACTCTTCCATATCTACATCTGTCATGATTGTAGTGAAAGGAAAAGTTATTAGAGTTATATTTTCCTTCTGGAAACCACTGTCTTTGTTTCCTTTTTTGATCAGATCAGGACGATTGGCGAATGTCAAGATAACATAATGCCTGATAGTGTTTGGCACAGGCACTGTCACCTTGTCGAGTGTCTGTGAACTGTATTGTGCATGAAGGTCCTCTCCAACTTCATGGACCCTAGAGAGAGATGTGACGACCTTCTGTTCCATAATGATGTATATGTGCCTGTAGACTCATATTGGACTGTTCGTGTGACTGATTCTTTCCAGTGAGCCTGAAATTGTGTGTGGACCTTTGAACGAAAATGCACCCAAAAATAGGGCATCATCATCTTAACGAAGCTGGGATTGATCTGCAATCTTTGTATTATTAGAAATGTAGATTTCCTTCTCCTGTGAAAACTCATTCTCGAAGAAGATTAAGAATATGCTCTTTAAACCATGTTGAATGTGGCTGCCTGATATCGTGACAGGGACTTCCTTGTTCTCCCATCAGTGTTCGGTACATCTGTCGAAGTGCTGATAGCTTATATATGGAGGCTGAATTCTCAACAAGGGCTACTATTTGTGCTGTAGCAAATTGACAAAACTCAGGAACAGGGCTTGTGGATGCTCGACAGCGCGTGCAGACTCTCGTAGATGCAAATAGCATTGAACATGATACAAAATATCGCCAGCATGGGCATCCGCAGCTTGTGCAATCAATTTACCCTGCAACTGGAAATTATTATTTGACTTTGCCCAGCTTTTTAGATTTGCATCTACGGTGTCAGTTGCCACCTTGCGTATATTGGTCTGGTCATCTCCATCACAGAGAATGCAGCATTTAACATCACTGCCTTTTCCATGTGATGTCCCCGTTGATATGAGTTTTTTGGGGTGGACTCTGTGTTCATGTGTTTGACGCAGACTCTTCACACAAGAACTGCTACAGTAGCTCCTACATGTTTTGTGACACTTTACTTAGCATTATGGGATCGGAGGGTTGCTGCAATACCCGATCCATTATTTAGTTGA